GTTGTTGTTAAGTACCGTGGAGTCGGTTCTAACTCATAGTGACCCTGCACAGGGTTTCCGAGGCTGTAAGTCTTTACGGGAGAAGAACATCTCATGTTTCTCCCGCGGAATAGCTGGTAGTTTCGAACTGCTGACCTGAGGCTGGCAGCCTGACTCGTAACCACTAAGCTACCAGAGCTCCTTGCTACTCATGGACTTAATCCTGCCATTTTATCACTGTTGTTGAAACTACTGCCACAGCACCTATCAGTTCCTCAAGACCTTCCTTGTTTAAAATATTCATTCATAAAAAGATATTATGGAGTTAACCCTACACGTGACACATGTGTTTTTAAATGACATATTAAATACGAGAAATCAAATTAATACATTTCTAAACCTCTGATGCAGACTAGGGAAGAATGGATTGGGTCAAATTTCTTATGAAGTTGCTTATTATGAACACTCTCTATATCCATTCAACACAGTTACACGACGCAAGCAAGTTAGCCACTCCCCACCTGACCCTGGCAGTAAAGTAGCTAGTAAAGAGACAACAGAAGTGGAAAGATCATTTTGGTTTATTGGTAAGCTACATCATAAAGGAGAAAAGGACATTCATGTAAAGATATTTTGATGTGGAGAGAGATACAAAGAAGTGGTATATAGGAATAATTAAGTAAGGAGACAGGGTAAACGCCACTATGAAAATGAAATGTCCTAGGAGGTCCTGGTGTGGCATTGTAGGATAAGCACTGGACCTCTAACTGCAAGGTTGGTGGCTCAAATTCGCCAGCCACTCTTCAGAAACCCTATAAGGGTCACGATCAGTCGACACTGACATGACAGCACTTAGCAACAACAGTAAATGATTTGGGGTGCTTTATTAGAACTATGATTTTTAAATAAAATGAAAACAGGGCTGACTGGTTTATAACCTCTTCGTTCCCTTCACAGGCCATCCATGTGTGGTAAGTGGCACAAAAGAACAGGACAAGAAACACTTATTTAAGACTTTAAATAAAAAATTTCAACTGGACTTTATTTTAGATCCTGGAGTATGAAGAAATATTTAAATGGAGGGATTCTGGAGATTAAATTTATTTTAAAACTGAGAAAAGAAATTCCAAATGACTGAATCTACATTCTGGAATGAACTATGTGCTGCTTACCAAATGATTTTATATGCATACACACATACATCACAGACATTTAGAATAAAATATATAAGGAGAATATTTACCTGCATGTAAACATTATTTCCCTATAAAATAAATATGTTCATTTCATAATTAAATGTATTAATATTAATTAACAAGTCTTCTCAGAGACTTTAGTAGTGCATATCTGTCCCAGGGAATCAACAAGATGGCAACTGGTAAAATCACTCAAGGAATCAAGGGTCAGCAAACATTTTCTGTAAAGAACCAGAGACGAAATATTTGAAACTTTACAGGCCATGCGAACTCTATTGCAATTATTCAACTCTGTCGTTGTCTCCTGAAAGCAGTCACAGACAGATCAGAAATGAATGGATATGGTTATGCTTTAATAAAACTGTATTTCTGAATTTGACCAGTAGCTTGCTGACTTCTGCCCTAGATTATAAGATTATATTTCCACATACAATTCTTTGTTTGGGAGTAGAGATTTATTTCTTTTGAAGCTGTGGTTCTAGCTGTATTGAGGAATGCTGCAGTAGGATTCTTATGTTAACCTCCAAACCCTCAAGTAAAAGAGTTCATGGGACTCTCCTCTAGTAGTGATCAAGACAAATTAGATTCCATATAGAATCTAGTCACAATCTTTACTTTTTTTCTTCCACATTGCTTTTTTATTTTTTTTTAGGTTTTAAAACTTTATTTGCATATTTTAAAAATTGTGCATTCCAATGATTAAAATCATTTGAACAAAAAAATGGCACCCCGATTAAACTGCATTTTACGCCTGCAGGACACCTTGGACCAGCTTTGTTTTTACACTATATATTTTATTCACTGTCGTTCCACCCAGCTCCTTCCTTCCACATGCAAGTTCTTTTCCTTCCCTGCCAGCCAGACAGTCCGATGGGAGCGGCAGGCCCCGCCTTCATTGTCAGTAGTTCTCGATTCTTTGATGTGAAAAGGGGCAGCAGTCATTTAAACTTGATCCAACCTCTTTGCATCTTACAAAGTGAAACAGCTAAAAGAAGGAAAATAAGAAGGCAATGCTTGTGGAATGTACAGTGCATATTGGCGGTGCCGCTTCATTACGATTCGCCCGCTTGCTTTTCCTGTTCGATCATTTCTTTTGAAGGTAGTGGATTTTTCTCTTGTGTTTCCGTCGTCTTCAATTTTGACTTACCGAATTTCGCAATCTCGGCCATATCGGGTTTGGCAGACAAAGCAGCGGTGGAATCGAGCGAGCAGTGTCATTGAGCACAGTGGCCGCCGCCGAGTCTTCCATATTGTTTTGGCGACTTAATAAACATTGGAACATCTGTAGTTGCTTTTAGTAGTCACTGTGAATATTTATATACCAACTCTTGATTTTTTTGGGGGGAGGGGGGAGGGTCCACTGCTTTTGTATTGCAGAGTTTCCCACTTGTCATTAGAGTTTGTCTGAGCAAGGAGGTAATTATAGTGCATTTCCATCCTTTGTTGTTGTTGTTAAGTGCCTTCAACTTGGTTCCAACTCATAGAAACTCTATATAGCGTTTCCAAGGAACAGCTGGTGGGTGTGAACAGCCGACGTTGTGGTTCGCAGTCCAGTGCTTATCCTACAGCATCACATTCTAACTTTGTTGTTGTTGTTAAGTGCTGTCAACTCAGTTTTGACTCACAGTGACCCTGTATCAGGTTTCCGAGGAGCAACTGGTGGGTTTGAACTGTCGACTTTGTGGGTCAAACCGACCTTGCAGTCCAGTGCATTATCCTGCAGTGTCATACCAAGACTCCTAGCTTGAGGGGAGAGGAAAGTTTCATTTATGCAAAAGTAACTGATTCTTTCTTTTTGTGTCTTGCTAAGAAAACCTCCCTTTTTCTTGAACTGATGGAGGTGATTGTGCTATTGAGTAGGTTCTGACTCTTAACAACCCTGTATAGTTTCCGAAGCTGTAAATCTTTATGAGCAGAAAGTCTCATGTTTCTCTTACGTAGATTTCTGCATGCATGCTCACATTTATAAACATTGCATATACAGGCATACCTTGTTTTATTGTGCTTTGCAAATTGAAAGTTTGTGGCAACTGTACTTCTAGCAAGTCCATCAGCACCATTTTTTTTGCAACATGTGCTCACTGTTGTGAGAATGTTGTAATCTCACAATATCTCCAACTTTTTCATAATGCTATCTCACACTTAATAGACTTCAGTATCGTGTAAAAATAACTTCTCCATTCACTGGGAAACCAAAAACTTCATGTGACTCACTTTATTATGCTCCTTGCTTTATTGTGGTGGTTTGGAACCATGGAACTGAACCCACAATACAAGGTTAAGTCAGAAAGTATTGATACTAGTGTTTCATGTCATATATGCACATTCCAAACAAAATGTGTTTTAAAATGTTTGTGTAATCAGTGGATGGCTGCAGACAAGTTTTCTCAGTGATACATATTTGTCTTAGTCTCCTTAGGATGCCATCAAAAGAAAGAAAGAAAGAAAGGATCTAATCAAAACACTGGTTTCTGAAGGGATCTGTTGAGTCAATTAAATCCAAAGTAGAGTGATCAAGGTTATGGAGACTCTTTTTCAGGATTCCAGATGGGTGATAGTGATAGGTTTGCTCTAAGGAGACAGGAGGATCATGGATCATATTAGGAAATTCTTTGGTAAGAAAAAGGCCAGGAAAGTTGTGCCACAAAATTTATTCCCATCACAAGATTGCACCTGCTCGTTCTTGGAGAGTAACAAGAGCTGCCCAAGAGAAATCTGTTGGGAAACCTTACCCCATCCACCCTATAGTCCAGATCTTGCCCCTTCAGACATCTCTTTGGTCTCCAAACTCAAAGAACACTAAAAAGGAACATGATTTGAGTCCCTGCTGTTTTGACATGGTGTGAATCAAAGAACGCAGAATACTTTGAGAAAGGGTTAAAGAGATATTTTTGTTTAATAAAGGTTTCTATGATTATGTAGCAGTGATTTTTAACTCATCTTTGATGTCTGTAATAGATTATATCTTACATAGAAATACATATAACAAAGTAGTTTTAGATATAACTTTAAAGTTGTTCAGGAAAATGTTATTAGTTGATGCCAAATAGTAAAATTCCAGAATATCTTATTATAAAATATATGAGTTTTCAGAAGAACCATGTGGCATTGTAGCATAAACACTGAACTGTTAACCAGAAGGTCAGTGGTCAAACCCACCAGCCATTCCTTGGAAACCCTATACAGGGTCGCTATGAGTTGGAACCAACTTCACAGCATTTAACAACAAAAACAGTATAATTGAAGAGCCTTCTTATGTGTTTGTCCCCTAAATGGATTCTAATAGTGTCTACATCTACATTTTTGAGGTTGTTGTTGTTGTTGTTAGGTGCCATCGAGTCAGTACCGACTCATAGCGACCTTATGCACAGAACGAAACACTGCCTGATTCTGGGCCAGCCTCACTACTGTTGCCACGCTTGAGTTCATCGATGCTGCCACTTGTTTAATCCGTCTCATTGGGGCGTCTTCCTCTTTTTCTCGGACCCTCCACCTTACCAAGCATGATATCCTTCTTCAGCGACTGGTCCCTCCTGACTATGTCCAAAGTATGAGAGACGAAGTTTAGCCATCTTGGCTTCCAAGGAGCACTCTGGCTGCACTTCTACCAACACAGATCTGTTGGTTCTTTTGGCAGCCCATGGCACTTTCAATATTCTCCTCCAACACCATAACTCAAAAGCATCAATTCTCCTACGGTCTTCCTTATTCACTGTCCAGCTTTCACATGCATATGGGGTTACTGAAAATACCATGGCTTAGGTAACTGTTAATATTTTCTTCTCCAATATATAACATTAGCACAATCCTAGTCCTCCATGCAAAGGTCCCATAGTGTAGTGGCTATCATATCTGCTTTACATGCAGAAGATTCTGGGTTCGAGCCTCAGTTGAACCAGGAGGCTGAAGTTGATTTAGACTCTGAGTGTGGCGCTGTAGGATACATACTGGACTGTTAACTGAAGGGTTGGCAATTCAAACCCACGAGCTGCTACTTGTAAACCATATACAGGGTCGCTATGAATCAGAACTAACTTGACAACACTCAACAATATCTCTCCATATGATTTTTACTCAATATTTACTTGATTTATGCACACATTTATATCAGCTACTTGGTTTATTTTTGAAGACCTATAATTTCTAACACCTACATTCCCCGGAGTACCAAATTCCATAATAATCAGACTCCCAAAGTGAGAGCTCATAGGAACATCTCACACTAAGGCACTTATGGTCACTTATTCATTTTTTGTTTCACTTCAAACAGAAGCTAAGAATTTCAGTGCCAGAATCTAATCAAGAGTTTCCATTTGTGTCTCTTACCAGTTTGTTTTGAAACAAATACCATCTTTTCAACCACATATAGGCCTCCCTGCATGTTCACACAAAAAAAATATCTGTATGGAAATAAAGTTTATTTAATATTTATCTCAAAAACTCTGTGTTTCTAATATTTGTATATGTTTTCTCATACATACAATGTACTGGAAAATTAATTGTTGCTATTGGCACAGTTGCTGTTGAGTCAGTTCTGACTCATGGAGAGCCCATGTGTACAAAATACAATTGCACCATAGGGTTTTCGTGACTGTGACCTTTTGAAAGCTGATTGCTAGGCCTGTCTTCACAGGCTAACAAACACATGAAGAAATGCTCACAATCATTAGTCATTAGAGAAATGCTATTCCAAACAATGAGATAACAACTCACCTCTGCATTAATAGCAAAGTTCAAAACATAGAAAACAACTAACACTGGCAAGGATGTAGAGAGACTAGAACCCTCATATACTGTTGGTGATACCATAAAATGTAAACACTGGAAATCTGAATACCACTTCCTTAAAAATTTAGAAATAGAAATATCATATGATCCAGCAATCCCACTGCAAAGTATATCAGGGCACTTCAGATAGTTGGTGGAAAAACGGCATTAAAAGAAAATGAAATTTGTCAATGGGTGTTTTGCAGTGTTCTCATATATCCTAGAGGAATAAGATACAGAAAGGGTAATAGGCACATACGTGTTCACTGCAGCATTATTTACAGTAGCAAAACAGATGGAAACAACCTAAATTCCAATCAATGGATGATTAAATAAACTACAGCACATTAGCATGATGGAATAGTGTTGCAGACCGTGCAGACCCGGTCAGGAGTTCGAGGCCCTGTGGGCCCAAGTGTTGCAGACCATACAGGCTGCAGGCTCTGAGGAACAGACTCTAGCTACCTGGCAGACATGGCAAGCTGTTTTTCATCTTAGTGTTCAGCTAGGTTTGTTATTAATTGCTTACATGAAGCCCTGATGTCCACAGATAAATGTAATATTTTCCTAAAAGCCAAGACTTTAAAATTCCAAACAGGCAAAGTCTTCCCTCAGAGAATTCATTCAAAGTAAATTGGGTGGCTCCCCGGTCTCTGTTCTAAGAACAAAAGGACTGCCTTCTTAAAGTGTTTCCAGGTGCAGGCCATTCACCTAGGCGCCTCTCTTCTTCCTGCAAACCTGGCCCAGGCAGCAGACACAATGGGAATCCTCCCAATCCTCCTTTTCCTTCCCCCATTTGAGGCTAGGTGCTAAAAGGTATGTTAATTAAGCTTGAGAAACCAAGTTGCGGTGGTGAGATTCGAACCTGTGAAGTACAATGTAAAGCTGCCTGAATGTCTGGAGAATTACATATGTTAGCTGTACCTTGTCTTAGTCCCGCCCAGCTTTGTGAAGTTCCTCCCCTAAATAAAACGGAGGCACAGACCGACCCAGGTGTGCATTACAGCATGGAGGGCGTGTTATACGGCTGACTAGGCATGCGTGGCTGACCAGCTAGCAAGGGGAACTTACTGCCTGCATAGCTAAGATGTTTGCTATGCGGGATCATACTGCCCTCATGGCGAATATGTTCACCACCCGGATCTGCCGGACGCCAGTAATGCATCCACTCTGGTTTCGGGGCGTCTCTTTGTCTCTCTCTTTGTGTCCTTGTGTGTGTATATTTCTACAGCTGCCAGATATCCCCTCCTCGTGAACCAAAAACCTATGTCGAGGCGGGTCCCCGGCAGAATAGTATGCAACATTAAAGAACAACAGTGAGGACGTTATGCTGAGTGAAATAAGTTAACCAAAAAAGGGCAAATATTGTATGAGCTCACTATTATAAAAAGTCAAGATAGGCTTTACATGCAGGGGAAAAAAATATTTGATGATTACCAGGGAGGGGAGGGAGAGGAGAATAACTAACTGGATAGTAGACAAGACTTCATTCCGTAAAGGTAAATACTATTCACTGATGGTACATGGAGTGGATTAAAATCATTGTAATGATACGAAGTGTATAATTTGTTGAATGTGGGACTGATGATCTGTTCTGTAAACTTTACTCAAATCACAATAAAAAGTTAAAAAAAAAAAAAGTTCATTCTGGTGAAGTGAGGCGATACAAAATAAGGAGGAAGCTAGTACGAAATGATCAAGACAAAAGGAAGCCCGGGCGGGAGCACAAGACTTAAAACAACAAAGGTAAATACTAGTAGAAACATAAACCTGCAATAACAGTAATAGCAATAATCTGGAGTCCTGATGTGGTACTATGGGAAAAATACTGGACTGCTAACCACAAGGTCAGTTCAAACTCACCAGGCACTTCTTGGAAACCCTATACAGAGTTGTTCTGAGTCTGGACCAACTCCAAGGCACTTAACAACAGCAACATGAGTGGATAGACACTCAAGCTGAACAGGGTGGGAAGGTGAATGGGACTACACCCACTTTGACAGAGGATATATTTTTTTTTTAAAGGGAGGAAAATAATTTAGGCCTGGCCTCTAGCAGTCCTCGATTCAAGGCAGCCTTTGGTTCTGATTGACATCCTGACTTTAATGCAGATGCTTCTGTATAGCCTCTTCCTGCAATGGAGGTTTAAATGTGGGTCCTGTGAGTCTTCTTTAGCAATTGAACCCTGCCTAATGCCACCTTTATTGGAATTTATTACATACTGTTATTTACATTAGAAATCATTGATTTCTCTTAGTGATAAAAAAATCAAAGTTTATTATTGAAAAAATATATATTGAAGCTTTATACTTATAATTTTAATGTAACAAATTGTGACTTAAGAATTGTATTTCTTTGAAAATAAGCTAACTTCTCAAAATTTCCCCAAGAAAGATTATAAGATGTTAGAGTTGTTGTTGTTGCTGTTAAGGCCACTGAGTTGGTTTCAACTCATAGTGACCCTATATAAGGTTTCCAATGAATGACTTATGGGTTTGAAACACCAACCTCGTGGTTAGCAATCCAGTGCTTATCCCACAGCACACGAGGACTCAGGTCTAGATAGCGCATTAGGCTTTAAATATGTTGCTGACTGTTCATAATCCAATACTTGCAAGGTTAGGGTGTTCAGTCTCCCAGTTTCCATAATAGTAATGAAGAGTTTGCTTGGACTGAATACAGATGGCAAACAATTGTTCATAGGGGGAAAATCTTCTTAACTTAATATTATGGTTTAAAATAAATATTCTCACACAATGCTTTCTTTTGTAGCATAGAATGACAATGTTTAAGATTTCTTTGCATGTGGGATGTAAAATGGAGAACAGAGTTAAGTATTTTCAAAAGCAAAAACTAAAAATTCCTTTTTGCAGGACAAATTAGACAGAAATGTGTATGTGCTATAATTATATATAGAAAAATAAAGTGGTTTGTGTAACATTCAAACAAATCACCTATAACTGCAGAGATAATTTGCATGTTTGAAGGTATGTCTATAACATATGTCCATATATAGAATATGTCCATTTATAAATTCATTTTTATCAAATGAGTTATTAATTCACTTGAAATGATTTGGTGATGATAATAAGAGTTTCAAATTCGCATGGTCAGATTCATTCAATGATTTAGTATTTAATCCATTCATTTGATAAACAGTAATTTTAAATGTCCACTGGGCCAATGACCAAAGATAATGGAACAAATCAGATATGGACTATGAAAGTGAAGCCTTAACCCCATCTTAAAGTCGTGACATGAGTCTGGAATTCATGTTGAATTCTAAAATTGCCTTTTCTAACACTGGTTTCTCTAACCTTTGTGCTGACCTAGCCACAGACCTTTTTTTTCTCTGGGGGCTGGCAGATGTGGGTGGTCACAGCCTATTCTCACCTTTCCCTCTGTGGTCAAACAGATGCAGGATGCAGTAACTTGTGCCTAGAGTCTTGATGCATAGCATTCTCAGTAAATCTTCCTTACATTGGACCTCCAGGAGCAGACATGCTTGAGGAAGCAATTTTAATAGCAAATTCCCAGAAAAACTTGTCTTGCCATTGTCCTGTGATCATCCTACAATTAACTGAAACTCACATACTCTTGCAATTATGCACCCTTAACCAATCACGCAGTTCCACTACAACCAAACCAAAGCCACTGCCTTAGGTTAATTCTGACTCATAGCTGACTCTATCCTAATAAGTCTCTGCACTCAGATACTGCACCTTCATCTCCCCTGATTGTTGTTGCAACCAGTCACAATTTCTTCATGCTGATATTGGGCATTTTCCCACTCTGGAAAGTCTCTAGACTTTAAATCTCTTTAAAAATTTACAGGGTATGTGTTTTCATTCTAGAACACGAAGAGTAATTTGGTTATAGCTAGAGAAATTAGGATATGTTTCATTAAAGGTTAAACTGAGACTTAAAAATGAAGCTGATTTGGAAGTGCAGTTATGGGCAAGGGATTCCCTGGACAAAATAGGATGAGTCAAATTATGATATTAAGAAGGCCTAAACTATAGATCTGAAGTTCTGGTGTGGCACTGTGGGTTAATGTGGCAGACTGCAAAGCCATTTGAACTGCAAGGTTGGTAGTTCAAGCTCACCAGCTGCTCCTCAGAAACCCTATAG